ATAATAGAAAATGGAGAAAAAAAATAGTATCTTCACGTAATTAATGAAATAGGTTTGTTACATCCCATGCCGATTAAAGGACTAAACAGGAATGGAGAATTTATTAAACAACATGAGCAAATGGTTGAAATATCAAAATGCGTGGTTTATATGAAAATAATATAGAAATGGTTGGTGAGTTAAACAAAAATAAATAAGAGAAATAATACTCACAAAAGAACTTGTGTGTATAAAATGAATTTACTTTACATTAATATAAATATATTTAAATGTATGTATTATAATATGCATTTGAGTTTGTGTTTATTTTTAATTTGATTTAATCGAGTCAGATTTTTAAAAAGAAATCGAGTTTATTTTAAATGATGGGGTTGGATCAAATCGGATTTAGCTTTAAAATAAAAAAATATGACTCGAAATAATATTATAATTGCATCTCATATATTTAAAAATAATTATAATAACATCCATCTCCATAATGTAAAAGTTGCTCAATTCGACGTTTGATACCAATCCTATCTCCTAAACCCTCTTGGGAAATCTCATGTAAAATTATTAATATTAATATTAATATTAAAATTAAAATTATTATTATTTAGCTTTGGCCTTCGAGGAATCTACATATTTAAGGGAAAGTAAGGGTAAATTTCAAATTTCATCATTAAACTTTATTATCTCTCTTATTTTACTCACTAAACTTTAAAAGTTTTTAATTTCTTCAATAAACTTAATACATTGAGTTTTTTAGTCATTTTGCCGTTAAATAATTAATGGTGTTAAAACGATGTTGTTTTTAAAAAAATAAAATTTTCAACAAAAAGACATCATTATGTATTTATATAAAAGCCCATTTATAACGTCGTTAGTGAGGAAACGACTGATTGACTAAAAATCTAAAAAAATCCAATGTATTAAGTTCAACGAAGAAATTAAAAATATTTAAAGTACAGTAAGTGAAATAAACGAGATAATAAAATTTAGTTAGCAAATTTGTAATTTACCCGGAAAAGAGGCAATAATTATAACAAAATTACACAAAAGAGAGGACATGAAATGGGTCTATTTTAGTACCATACTATTAAAAATCTAACGCGTTTAGTATTTAAACTATTAGTTTTGGTATACTTTAGTATCTAAATTTTCAATTTGTTTCAAAACTTTCAATTTAGTACCTTAAGGTTATTTTCAATATGTTTTAGTACTTAACGTTAACTTTTTAACAAAAATATTAAAATTAAACAAAAACTAAATGCTAAATATAATTTTGAAAAAAATTAAAAGTTTAAGTATTAAAAATAGACAAAATTAATAGTTAAGATACTAAATGTGTAATTTACTCAAGTAAAAATAATACTAAATCATAACCCTTGAAACAAACTGCAGGGCAAAATTGGCCCAACAGGACAGACAAGTAAAAAATTGACCCATTAGATCATCTTCAAAAATTATTTTGGGATATACAACATTTGCTACAATGACCTATAACTCATCTCATTGACTTGACAAAATTTAATAAAATATATTTTTAATAGAACTTGTCATCCCAACGTAACAAATTTTGATAAAAAATATATTTTATTAGAATTCATCATGTCGATTTGACGGATTTGAGTAAAAAAAAATTATTTGGACAAATTCATCATGTGAGTGTGACGAGTTTGCCCTGTACTGTAACATTTTTGTTGAACTATGTTTTATAATATTTTGATATAACAAATTAAGGCAAAATGTTTTTGGACTTAATTGAATTTATTCAAAGTTTCAAAAGTTTTCAAAAAATAATTCAAAGTCCAATAAACTAGAATTTGAGCAAAACCAAGTTTTTCACGTACAAAGTATTGATATTGTTCTTACGGTATCAATACTATATGAACAGTATCGACACTGTTCATGTGTTATCGATACCCTAGGTAAGAGAAGTATTGATACTCTTAAGGTAATACTGATACTACCAGCTTGCTAAAATTTCAGAATGCAAAATAGCACCGATACCCAAAGGGGTACCGATACTATTTTACATAGTAGTATCGATATCATGAAAGATAATATCGATACTGTCATGCCCAACGGCTAGTAACAACTAGTTTTATTTAAATATTATAAAGGTAGTACGGGATACTCCCTATAGGAGTATCGATACCCTCTGTCCTAGGCAGTTTTATTTTGCAGATAAAACATCCCCAACGGCTCCAAATCACTCTCAACGGCTAAAAACGGCCACAAACTCATTCCAACATATAAATACAAGTTCAAGACACTTGAAGAATGGTTAAAACACCTATTCAAGCAATCAAACACAAGAGAAGAGCTTTTCACTATTTATTTATATTCTCTTGTACATATTTATGTTTTTGTGAGGTTTAATTTTATAAACACATACCTTTAAGAGGTTTCTTTGCTTACTTCTTTTTACCTTTTGTAAATGAGTTTTGGTTCTAGCTAACCCTTTGAAAAACTAGGGAATTCGTAAATGTTATCTATTTATCATTGAAAAAAAACAAATTAGTTGATTTATTGGAAAATCCTAATTGAGGAGATTAGGTAGTGGATGTAGACTTTTGTTGAGAAAGTCGACCCACTAGAAATTTTTGTGCAACCAATTTCCTATTCCTTTAATTATCTTTACTCCCTAAAATTCTCAAAAGTCAAATCACCGCTATTGGAAATTTATTTTGATTGTCATTTAAGCTTCAACAATCCTAACAATTTTTCGTAGATCCCAAAATAAAATTTAACATGACCTAATGAGCTAATTACTCTAATAACTGCATCATGCACGAATTAAATAGGATCCGTAATAAAAAAAAATTGTTATTCTTTAAAGATTCGAGTTCAAGCATCACACATGTAAAAAATATGAAAGTTCAATATAAAAAAATTTAAGAATTATATTTAAATAAATACGGTCTTGTATTTATTTAAAAAAAAGTGCGTCCCAAAGAGAACGGACCCATTTCGTGTATTCTCTTCGATATCAACCTTTCACTTCACCTTTTTGGGTGGAAAACAACAATCTTCCGGACACTCATTTACTATATTTTCAAATAACATAGAGACGCGTTTTATTTACATGTAACTTTGACATTTATAGAGACAAAAAAAAAAGGAAAAACTTTGACATTTATTTTACACATATATTCTCCATGATTAGAACGTGAATCATGTAATGTGCTTTATTATTTTAAATTAAATATTATAAAAATATTAGACTAAGCTCACATTTGCCAAATATACATATAAAAAAACAAAAGATAAAAAGTAATTGTCGGACGATAGTACATGCATTAAATTTTAGGGTAAATTATGCATTTTGTATTTAAACTTTATCTAAATTTTTATTTTTTTAAATCATACCTAATGTTTAATTTTTATTTCATTTTAATATATCGTCATTAAAAAATTTAATGCGTTTAATACTTAAACTATCAATTTTGATCCATTTTAATATCTATACTTTCGTTTTTTTTAAATTTAACGTCAAATTTTAAATGTAATACTAAAATAAAAAAAATTAACAGTGTAATACCAAAATGATAATTTAAATACTACATAAATAATTTACCCTAAATTTTAGCACTCACTTCAAATTCATTGATCAAAAAACAACAAACCCAGAAAACGCTTTCAACTGTGACACTATTGACACAGTCCTCAATCGTCATTTTCAAACGCATGGTCCGAAAATCCCACCCCTTACACTTCATTTATTATAGCCTTTTTTTTTTATATATATTATTAATATGTCACATATTTATTTAGCAGTTTAAACGAAAATTAATTCAGTCGAATTGGATGGAAAAATATTTAAAAGTTTCCGGGTTCATGGGATTTGTGGGGGGAATAGGGTTAATCCATTTTTTAATCAATGTTTTCTTTATTTTAATTTATTTTTTTATTAATTTTAAATACGACTATATCTTAAATGATTTTTTAACAAATCAAGTGAATGGATTTGTCGGTGTTGTTGAGGTGATATTTTTAATATTATACACTAGGTTTGAGTATGTTTTAGTATCTAAATTTTTGATTTTTTCAAAATCATATTTAACGTATAATTTTTGTTTCATTTTAGCATCTTACTGTTAAAAATTAAAGCATTTAGTACATAAATTATCAGTTTTTGTCCGTGCTAATACCTAAACTTTCAATTTTTTTCAAAACTTAATGTTAAATTTTAAACTGGATACTAAGATGAAATAAAAAACTAAACTTTAAATATCGTTTTAAAAAATTAAAAGTTTAAGTACTAAAACAGATTAAAATTGATAATTTAGGTGTTAAACTAGTAATTTACCCTAAAAAACTACACAGTACGGGAATTTATCTTCGAATTTGAAGAGAGAGTAAAAAGCAAGGAGAGGGAGCCGGGACATGAGGGCATTGCCACGTATACGCAACGTGCCGTATCAAAGCCATGCAATCACGCTTCCCACTGCTTCTTTAAAACTCCTATTCTTTTTCCAGTTGGTCTAATTATGTTCTTAGTCCATGTATTCGTTGTATATCTGAAATTTAGGCTCTGAAATTAGTACTTCATTATTTTGTTTCCATAGAAAATATTTGTTCTTTAATTTAAACTCATAAATAATTATATATAATGTTAGATGGTTTGATAAAATTAGATGTTTTAACTGACATTTCTATAATAAATTAATGATTCTTGAAATAGTTTCTGAAACTATTATTAATATCTTAAAAACCTTTTCGATTAAACATCACGACTTTAAATTTCCCACTTCAATAATTCTTTTTAAAAAAATACCATCTAATCCAAAGAAATGGTTTTTTAAAGGTTTTATCGGTCAATTATTGAAATTAAAATAAGATTACCTTCAAATGTACTAAAAGTATAGGGACTAGGAGAATAATTACACCTTTCTTCGTTTATCAAACATAGAGGCAAAGCGAAGTACCGTTGTTCATCCCGTCTTCCATAATAACGATAAATTTTGAACTAAATTATTATTCAGAACTGCTTCAAGCTAACCTTTGATCTTGCCATTATATATATATATATACACACACATATATAAATGTTAGTTCTTGTCATTGGGCTCCATGGAAGCATTAAGCTTGCCTTGGATCCTCTGCCTTTGCTGCTCCATCTCAGTTGCTCTTTGACCCCTGCCGTTTGTGTAAGCTTCAAAGAACTCCTTATTCTCTTTCTGCAATTCATTCCAAACTGTAACCAAAGACAACACACACACACGTATATATCTATGTTTTCATTGTGTGTTTAATATTTTTCTTAAGAAAAATGAAAGAAGTTATATTAATTAACCTGTTGAAGTAATGACTGGTTTAATATCTGCATGCTTAGACAAAGCTTCCATGCACTCTTCTTTGCTCATGTTGAAGATCAAACACTCTTCTATAAGACGGTGCACCTGCATATAAATCATCAGGGGTGTGAGAGTTTAATGCAAAAAAAGTCGAGATTTAACTTAACATATATGTCTAGTACTTACAATCAATTTAATTAAAAGTAAAATTTAAATTTCATTGATATCGTTGTTGGTATAATAACTTGAAAAATTATAAGTTGGAGTGTGTTGGAGAATTGACGTATTATATTGCATATAGCTTACCATGCGGATATATGAAGCCGAAGATTCACCCATAAATCATGCAAATATTAGTACTCTAGACCTAAGTGCTTGAAGGGTTGAAGCTTGGAATATTTATAGAGTGATTGATCTGAAGGATGAACCTCGGAAAATGAAGGCAAAAGCTTGTAAGATTGGGAAAGAAATTAAAAGAGGAGGAAAGAATCAGTCCAATATCATGAGCTGGCCAAAAGTATTCAATTTATAAGCTAAAAATATGGAAGTGGACAGGGAAGGACCAACATGTGTTTGGGTAGTTTACCTTGTAATTTATTTTTATTAATCCATGTAAATATAAGATAGTATATGTTCAAATAAAACTTTCAACTATTCGACATTAAACATTCATATTTATGTATTTAGGATGTTCGAATCCGGTACTCCAATGAATAACAACTCCTCCTCTATCGTCGAAGTCGCTTGGTTCGTACTATCTTATAAAAACTTTAAATTTTCATATAATTTAAATATTTTATATATGTTATAGTGATATTTTAATTTTATATTATTATTATTTTTTAAAAATTTTAATATATATTTTAAAAAATTATATTCTTGATATATAATTATGTTTTTTTAAGAGTAATAAAACTTTTAATAATATTATTTTATAATATTTAATCTGAATTCAGTTATTAATAAATTAAATATAAATATTTATTTATTTGGTTGTTTTTGAAATTGAGAAAATATATTTACATCTATTTTTTTTATTAAATTAAGATGATTATAAAAGAATATATATCTTAAATACACTCAATTATTTAATAATAAATCACATATGATGGTTAATTTATTCTATAGGTAAATAAATGGAAATTATTGTTTGATGTGATCATAAGATTGTAATAGGGTGTTGGTGGGGTCTATGTCCCCACGTGGGACGACATCTATGATTGGTGGAGAAGAGATGAGGGTAGATTCTGTAAGAAAGCTAGTCCTCTAGTTGTAATCACATGTGCTGACTAGGCCACCCTCCACTAGAAACGTGGGACCCGATCACCCTCCCACTGTGGGGTTGTGGTGATATAGGGTCCCACACTTGCAAGCTTAAAACGACCTGTGAAACTGCCGTAATAGCATCACCAGTTGGTGGGTAGTACTCGCTACCAGACGTAACCTACTTCGATTCCACTACAAAAACTTGAATTAAATTCCGTGGTTATGGTAGTACGCGGTAAATGCAGAAATAAGATGATTGGCATGTTATTGAGAAGTGAAAGTTACTTCTAAGGCGTAGGTGTTAGAAGTTAAATCTAATGAGCCTGAATTACATTGGAAATTGAGAATAACATTCAAGTTTTAAATAGCGATTCATGATTGTGATAGTGTCTGTGAAATAACGATAGTGTTACCTTTCGATATACCTACTATATCCATAATAGCGTCCGCTATGACTGTAATCGCGGTAAACATGACATGATTAAAAACGCGATCACCATTTAAATCCCTGATTCAAGCCTTAGAGAGATTGTATTGTTTTCCGGTAATAACAGTGGGATCCAAACTGAGATTAAAGCCTTTAAAAGCAAACTCTGGTCGAGGTATAGGAGAGAAGAAAGAGAATGGCTACATAAATCTAGGTTGAAGTGGTTTAAGGCTAGAGATCGCCATACAAAATGTTTTCAGTCAACTGCATGTTTAAGAGGTCGGTCAAATCACATCGCCTGGATCCGAGTGAGAGATGAGGTGTACTCGGATCCGAATAAAATTTCTAAGGTGTTATGAATTGTTGTTTTCAGTGATTTTATCTTAGGACAAAGAAGCAATAATATGGTGGGATTTTAACGAGAATTAGGTGCTCCAACATAAGCATACAATCATTTATATCAATCATTAAGTATGAATTAATTATAGTTGATCTAATAAAATAAAACATTAGATGTCGTAAATTATATTAAAGGTTTAAATTTTAATATTATGAAACAAATTATGTTAAAACATAACATAATTATATAATGATCGAATTATATAAAAATGATAAAATTATGTTAAAATGATATTTTAATTAATATTAATAAAAACAATATTAAGTTAAATGATATTTTATAATCAAATTATATAATATATAGTAATATTAATCATGTGATCGAATTAAAGTCCGTCCTAGTAAAATTTATAGCGACAATACGGTATATTAACACGAAATATCGAGATTTAAGTGCATACGGTTTGTCTCATTCTAAATTTGTACTACAAATAGTTGAAATTTTCACAGCGTAGGTATCTTCAAAATTTGGCCAAACATCTGCAAAGAGCGAGTAAAGAATGAACATCAATTATCAAGAGCGACGAGAATTAGATTAAGATTCGATCGGTTTGGATTCGGTTATTATTTTTTTAAAAAAATTGTTGTCAAATTTAGGTTTAAGATGAAAAAATTATGATTTGGAATGAGATTATAATGTAATATCAACTATATATTTAGACATAATTACAACACATCTCTTTGAATTTTTTTCGATTTTTTTAGATGAAATTTTGCATGGGTTTTATTAATTGAAACACATACAAAACCAATCGCCGATATAGACTTCGTTAAAAACTCCCTAAACTTAAATGAAGAAAATAAAATAATTCAATCACGGATCACAACCTGTATGATACCTCCAATAACTGTTGCAAGCGTAGGTGGCACTCAGTAATTTATAAAACTCGCACTTTTATTGATATGAGGCAAAATACGTTACAACAACGTTACTCAATATTACAATATTACAACACTAGTTGTGACTAGTTTACAAACACAACCTCGTATTCTAACCTTTACTCAATTCTCTCATAGCTTTGCTAAGCTTTCAATCATATTCCTAAGCTTTGCTAAGCTTCATCCTATCTCTTTAATAGTTTTGCTAAGCTATTTTTCATTCTTGCTTTTCTAAGTTTTTCCTCATATTCCTTCTCTTTCTCACTTGCATACATTTATATTAATGCTAAAGACATATATTTATAAGGGTAATTAACCTCCTTAATGAAAGATCTAAACATTTCCAAATTCTTCTTGTATTGTCACATGAAGTTCTTGTCTTAATGAAATTCTCTTCCATCATCAATTGTCACATGTTTAGTTCTTAAGTAATTCAATATCATGCTTCGTTAATCAAGAATCTTCTAACTTTTGCCACCTTAACGTTTTCTTAATAATTAAGTATTTCAATGTGTTGTTGCTGCCATGTTTCCATATTGCTAGTTGTCACCATTCTTGACTTTTCAAAGTATTTTGTTGCTAAGTAATTCATATGCTTCTACATTCTTCTTGCCGACATATGGTTGCAAAGTTGAGTTTGATTTCTAACACTCCCCCTCAAACTCGACTTTTCATTCTGAGCTTTTCTCCACTTGTCATCTCCAATCGATTCTTCATTTCTTGCCAAGTGCACGCTGCTGCGGCTATGTATTATTCTTTGCTTTTTCTACATCTTGTAGAGATTTTTGCAGAATTTCCCACGCTTGTTTTGCGGTATTCGCATCAGAAATTTTTTCAAAGGTAGATTCATCTACTCCTTGAAAATAAAGAACAACACTTTTTTCTTTTTTCTGAGATTCCTTCAATACCTTCTTTTCTTCATTGGCCAGGGCTGTTTCTGCTGCTACATTTTCAGGCTCGGTGTAACCATCATCGATGATATCCCAACAATCTTGGGAGCCTAGTAACGCCTTCATTTGAATGTTCCAATTGCCATAATTCATCTTTGTCAATCTTGGGATTTGAGGTTGAATCATGTTGGCCATCTTCTCCACCACGTTAAACTCGAACCAAGCTCTGATACCACTTGTTGGAAGCGTAGCTAGGCACTCGAGTAATTTATAAAATTCGCACTTTTATTGATACGAGGCAAAATACGTTACAACAACTTACCTCAATAGTACAATATTACAACACTACAACACTAGTTGCGCTAGTTTACAAACACAACCTCGCTATTCTAAGCTTTGCTAAGCTTCACTCAATTCTCTCATAGCTTTGCTAAGCTTTCAATCATATTCCTAAGCTTTCAATCATATTCCTAAGCTTTGCTAAGCTTCACCCTCTCTCTTTAATATCTTTGCTAAGCTATTTTTCATTCTTGCTTTTCTAAGTTTTTCCTCATATTCCTTCTCTTTCTCACTTGCATACATTTATATTAATGCTAAAGACATATTTATAAGGGTAATTAACCTCCTTAATGAAAGATCTAGGCATTTCCAAATTCTTCTTGTATTGCCACATGGAGTTCTTTGTCTTAATAAAATTCCCTTCCATCATCAATTGTCACATGTTTATTTTCCAGGTTTAGTTCTTAAGTAATTCAAGATCATGCTTCATTAATCAAGATTCTTCTAACTTTTGCCACCTTAACCTTTGCTTAATAATTAAGTATTTCAAAGTGTTGTTGCTGTCATGTTTCCATATTGCTACTTGTCACCATTCTTGACTTTTCAAAGTCTTTTGTTGCTAAGTAATTCACATGCTTCAACATTCTTCTTGCCGACATATGGTTGCAAAGTTGAGTTTGATTTCTAACAATAACAAAAAACATTACAGCTTAAAAGTACAGACATAACAAAAACCGACTACACAGTACTGGGATAACCAAGAAATTAATCGCACCATACCAAATCAACCCTTCCACAGCTCTGAAATAGCAAGAACCAGACTGCCCATGCAGCAACAAGGAGCATTTCTAGCAAACCAATCCAGATCTACGACCTTTGAAACAACACCCGCGCTAATAAATTGACAAGCTACATATAATTTCATCCTAACCAAATATGATACATACCGCTACCAAGCACCTGCAGTAATAGGATTTTGGAATCACAGCAGCTACTCACAAACCAAATTTCACGAATCCATGGCGAAAAAGTCAAAATGCTCTATATGAAACAGAGCATCTAACCACGATACTTTGAAGAATAGCCTTCCAAGCGAAAGCTTACACTTTCGGTGGAGCTAAGTTTGCCCACATCAATTTCCACACACTGTCCTCAATCTCCCCCTTCACAAGTCGCCAACAAACAGAAATTCTTTGTCGAATACTGACCATCCGGCCATCTCAACTAATGAACTCTATCTACACAATCGGCACTACTTTGGACTCTGTTTAGGACATGCAGAAATTCGATCTAATGATTAACTTCCCAGTTGAAAAGATGCCTTCTGAT